GGAATTTTAAGTGTTAATTGTGATGACTGCCAGGCACTGATATCGATGAAGAGGAGCCACTCTTGAAGGCTATCTTCTTTTCAGCTTCCAAAAGGTATGTGAGCAAGTCTTACATGACAGAAAACTGAAAAAAACATATCTCTAAAACTACCAGTCCCCTCAAATGGTTATTCATACTCCAGTAGCACACAGGAGTCATTGAGCATATTTCAATTCCATTAAATACTATATCAAAACAACAAACACTAGCTACTTCTTATGTTTACATTTAACAAGATCTATAGGTCCTATATAACAGAGAGTGCTCTATGGCCAAAACGACAGGCAGATAAAGGTTTACTGAAATATTTCCAGGAATGTTTACATGAAAGTCTCACGTTCTGGGTTCCAAATCGCTCAGATAAACAGATGATTTCTTAGACATTTTTATTATCTCAGTGACTGTGGAGTTAAGTGTGGTAGACAGGCAATTTTTCAAACAGGAATCTGCAGAAGCAATTTCAAAAAGAACAATAAATACAGTCTTAGATGAAATACTTTTGCCTCCTCACATAAGCTCTCCTAAAGCCAAACAGCAAACACTAAGCGATCAGACACACGCTTACCTAGGAAAAATCTTCCATTTAAGACTTTACCAAACCTCCTTGCTAGCCATTTACTACCACAAAGTCTAACTTGTTTATTTAAACAGCTGCTGTAGGAATAGATGAAGGGGCTGACGAATGCTCATTAGCTCTGTTCTGTTGACTTTCCAGAGGTGGGGCAATCTCCTTTAAAGGGCAGGTAACATCTTAAACTACACCAAGTGCCTGAAAAATTAACATTTACCTAAGTTCTAAGGATTATTGTTGCTCTACTCAATGACTAAAATAATATCTGAAGCCTAATGAGTTATTTCTGCTTGGAAAGGGAACTCATAGAAAGAATTACTTCTTCAATTTTTTTTTTTTGTTGTTGTTGTTTTTTTTACAGTGAGCAGGCATACATTCCTCTTTCTCTGAACACTACTGGAATAAACTGCACTTTCTTTGCACAGTAGTGAAAACTTGTCTTTCCAGCTACTAATGCTCTTTCCCAAAATATCCTATTTTCTTCCCTTCCTCCCAAGTCTCATCTGACAAACACGGCTACCAAAAATTCTTTCTTTGTGTCTTTATTTTCCAAGCTGCTTTCTGAGGCTGTGGACAGATGTGCTAATCCCGATCCAAAAGAGGTTTATGAGACCAAACCCCAATTGTTTAGCTGAGGCCATCAATTCAAACCACATAAGCTGACTGCACTGGCACAAATTGCTCTGCTGACAAATGTGTGCAGACAGCAATATCCAAACAGGAATGCATCAGAAGCTGGCACTGATGACTTCCACCAAAAAACCCTGAATCCAGAAGCGGGTGTCCACCCAAACCTGATACTCATAGGCATAACCTCCTATAACCCAATTAATGCTCTAGGCCCCTTGCTTGCTTCTCTCTCCTGTGTAAAAACCTTCTTGCTGAGATGCTGCCTCTTTCTGATCTATTCTCTGACAGATGTAACCACATAACTGCACAGACAGGTAAGAGAGTGGACAAAAAACTACTTCAGTTGGTTCGAACTCAAGAAAGTTCGTTAATTAAGCTTTAGCTTTTACATGACCAGTACTTTGGACCTCCTGGCTCACTGGTATTACCCAACACAGAACCTGAAATCCCTTACAGTCAGCCAAGGTCAGCGGCAGTGAGTGTTCCCACCAACTTCACCTAAGTCTGAGATCCCATACAAACTTAAGATACAAATGCTGGCAGCTTCCAACATTCTCCATCCCCCAAAATATTGTTCAATGGAACAAAACGTTTTTAGTTTAATATCTGTCCTTTTCAAGATGTCTTAAATAAAAAAAACACTAACACGAGCAGTGTTTCATTTGCTATTGCAATCGGTCCAACTTCTGTCAATCTCCTTTGTGCTGATAATGTAAAAATCTTCTAAGATAAAAATTAATCTTTGAGAAGCCTATATCCAGGTTGCTTTGGAGTCCTACTCTTGCGTCCATACCAATAAGACTACTTTATTCTTAACTGTGCACAGATAATGTAACTTCTGTTTACATTTATATATGGTATAAATAAACAGAATGTATGCAGGAACAAGAATATGAAGAAATATCTATCTCCAAAAACTAATTGTAGCCGATTTATAAACAAGAAGAGAAAGAAATCAGCAGTATATTGAAGCTTACTTCTGAAGCTTCGTACTGAGACTTACTCATAAATAGTATCAATATCAAAAGCACTACGCCTGATTAATGATTTCCTCTTCCATGTGGATGCATGAACTTCTCTGAATGTTTATATCTTCAGTCATATATTTGAAAGCACTTGATTAATTCTTAAAACTAAACCGCTAAAGCAACAGTTCCTTTGACTGTTCTTTGATCTAATTAATAACTTCAGCAGCTACATTAATCCAATGATTAAGTTTGCAATTAGGTAGCTCTTCTGTGTTTTAAGGTAGAGTGGGTAGACTTTGCTCTTTATTCTGTAACTACAGCACAAATAAATTTTTTTTAGCAAGTGAAATTGTTCTGAGGTTATTGGGCTTTGGCAACCAGAACCACTTTTCCATTTCTCTCCTCTTATCTGTAACTCAGTTTACTCAATAAAACTATTCTGAATAATTTCACTTTACTTCTAATGTGTTTTGCTTCCTAGTTTCCAAACAAATTTGTAACTTTGAATGCAAATAGTTGCAAAAACCCACCAAAGTTATTTTTGAAATCTCTGAATGCATCTTTTAAAGAAAATACAATTCACGTTAGGGTTTAGATATCTCACAATCTCAATTAAACCTAAAATTTTAACCAAAATTAAGATGCCAGTAAGATTTACTATGGTTCCTTTCATTTGATTTGCCACGGTGCTTGCTGTATACTGACCTATTTATTCTCCTCTGAATACTTTCTCTACATATTATAGTAAATATATAAAGTAGAACAGTTTTCAACTTACGGCTATCTCTCCCAGACATTTTATTAGACGCTTGCTATAATATACATAGTTATGTGAGTGGTTAAGAGATGAAAGCCTACATTACTTCATTCAGGAAATGAAGTGCAGGTTTCGGTCCTTTCATTGCAATATCCTTCAGTGCATGGAACATAAATGTTTTTGCAGTGGATTGTTCAACAAGCAGGTGATGCAATGGGTTACACAGCTAAGCCACTGTATGATTTCTAGGGCCACAGGGTTAATACATAGTGATAAACTATTCAGTTATAATTGCAGCTTTCGTGCCAGTTAAATTGAGCACTCTGAATATTACACAGTTAAAACTTACTCTGTTATTTAACAGAAATTTGAATTTTGATTCCCTTGAAATCTAACTGATTCAACATCCATTAAGGTATACTAGCCCACAGCAAAAATCAAATCCACAGGAATTTTAACACTGATAAAATTAAGACAAACATATTGGGGAGTAAGAAAGGTAGGAAATCTTCAAGAAGGTTGTACATAAAGAAGCATCATCTCATAGAAGACAATCGCCCAGTGACCAATTCTCAGTTCTAGTTGAAGAGTAAGTAAAGAGGTAATAAGGATAATTTTTCAAAAACTACCAGCTTTATTTCTTTTTTTCCACAACGTAAATCATACTAACACGATGGAAGATTTTTAATTTCAGGTTTGAGTTTTCTAGACCTCTTACATTCATTTCTCTCTGGAAATCTTAGGTGGTAAAAAGAAAGGGATCAGTGAGATAATTTTTTATGATCTCCAATACAACACAGGGTGAAGGACTTCTCTGAACAACGGCAATCCCCACTTCTTGCTTTAAAAACTCTGGGACAAATTTCTATGATGTCATTAAGACATCATTAGTTTTTCACATGAAAAGGTAGCCCACAAATCAAAAATGACGTAATCTGAAATATTCCAGAGAGTGTTAACAAACACCAATGTTGCAGCTGCCCAGATTGTCCTTTATTGCACTTTATTATTTTAAACAAAGATGAGACATGTGACAATCAAAAATAAAGGGTAACATGACTGAATTTCCCCAGACCAAAATATCTTTGATACCTGTGAATTTCACCTTACCATAGAGAAAAATAATAATTGCTACTTAAGGTAACATGTGTAAAGCAGTAACAAAGCTACACTTGCTAATTTCTATATATTTATTTAATTAAGAATGTCCTTTTGAAAGTCATACAATCTTGATCTAAAAATTTCAAATGACAGCAAATCTAGCTACATACTGTAGCAAACTGTTAGACAGTTTTGCCTACACAGTTTTGGTCTAGAAATAACTTTTGGCTCTAAACGACAGTACAGTGTTATTTCTCATTTAATGC